GTTAATCAAAGGATCTATTCTGACCAGGGATACAACTGACATTGCCACTCCAAATATACTTTCTCAACGAGGAAAACGGCAGGTACGTACGTGTACAACTTTATAATACAATTTTAATAGTTCTGTTGTGTACTACAAAATGGACTATTACTGTATTAAAATAGACAATACTCTATGGGGATATATTTGTAGTACAGTATTTTGTAATAATTGTAGTCGATTGGTCTGTAAAAGTTTTTCTGGCCACCGGCAAGCCAAACTCCTACTATATGAGAAATGTAACTCGGTATATAAGAAACATATAAAATACCACAATAATGATTAAAATTTTCATTATTAAATATTATATAGATGAGACGCGAAGTAATGGCTGAAATTAATGACATGCCCGACACTAAACGTGTTAAAACAAGCCTTGGTGATCCAGCTTTGCCTGTAAGAGATTCCCACCACCATTCTGATTCTGCCAGCATGTCAACAGCTATAGAACATTCAACAACCTCTTGTGATACCCTTGACTACATAAATGATCAAGATTTAGTTTCCAAACCAGTGACCTACATTCAACAAACAACCGAAGCAAGTTCTAATATAATTAATGAGACAGGCCCACAAAGCAAAGAGACAAGCTGTTGTAACCATTATAAGTCTAAGTTGCAGAATAGTCAGCGATCCAATTACTACCGTCTTAAGAGGAGAGTAAGTGAACTAAAGGACTGTGTGAAAGAACTACAAATAGTAAGTATACTGACTCATCATTCACAATCAGTCGTTATTTGAAGAAGAACCTCATAAGGGAATAACCTCATAATCACATGATGGGGAAATACTGTTATGTACTCATGCAGCCTGCAGCCATGTACCAGTATATTGGGATTTCATAGGCTCTTTTTTCTAATGTAGTGTCAGAATGCCAAGAACAGTGTAATTAAAAAGCTAATGACTTTGTTTTATTTTGTATAGCAAGTACCTCCTACTGAGTATGATAGTGATAGTGATGTATGCAGTGATGATGAAGATGAGTCCTGTTGTGAAAGTGAACCAGCCAACACTGGGAAAGAAAGTGAACATGAACCATCATCAGACTATTATGTCTGGCCCAGTTGTGGCAATGAATCAAGTGATGATGATGGTGACTGGACACCACACATTGAATCTGAAGATAGTGAAACTAATGACGAAATGAATCAAAATTCATTTAGTGACATGAAGTAAGCTGTATTATTTAGTAGCATTATTTTATGATATGTATAGACCCATTGCACTGATGTCACAAATCCTTAGAGTGTCCTCCAGATGCTCCCTAACAATATCTGTTCGGGTACAACAACCACATACAGCGCAAACATTAACCATTTTAATACAAAACAAGACGCTCTCCCGAGCGTTAAGTTGCTGGGGCTTTTTAAATAGGCGCCTGCGTGATTTGCAACGAGCGGTAAGAGTATATTCAACGATTTGTGGGCTTGATTTGTAATTGTACATAAGTTTATTAAATAGTGACACGTTGCGACATAATGTATACAGCAAATTTAATTAACTAAGGGACGGACCAATAGAAAAGTGATGGGGGGGGGGATTTTCTAAGAGGCAATATTTTTATTTTGTACACCTATAGAAATTTTTTTTTCTCACTTGATGGCTGGAAATATATTTTTTTTATTAAAATTTATAGGCCTATCTTCCAAGAAAGGAGGATATTTCAGGATAAATACAGATTTGTGTATTTTTATTTTAACTTGTTTATAACAAATTTTAAAACACAAAAATTGTTTATCAGACAGTTAAGGACTAAGGAGTCGTTTGTGAATTAACCCATTGATTGACAGCACTCTCTCCCTGATGAGTAAAATCCTTGGCATTAGACACAGTAAAATAATAAAGTAGGTTACATGAGGGTACATTGCCACTTAAAGGGTTATATGATATGGACAATCGCATATATTGGATTATTGGTGCGGAATTTAGCTTTTTGCACCCAACTGATGCATGCGATAGACAGTGGTTATATTTCACCTCAGGGCCGTAGCAACCAGGGGGGGGGGGCTGTTTGAAATTGTAAATTTCGACATACTAAAATGCTGTTTTCTGACCATCGGAATTCTGTCAAATCTTTCCCAAAGTTCAGGAAATGGCATTTCAGAGACTCTAAATTTAAAATTTTCCTTGGGCCTTTGGCCATTGCTTTCAGTTCCCCAATCAAAAAGAGCTTCCCACAGCACTGCACTCCCTGTGCTATTGGCATTAAAATTTTACATAACTTTATATTAGCAGTCAGTGGTGTAGAACTGAATCGCTAACAAAGAGGGCCCTCAAAGAGGGGGGGGGGAATGACAAGACGTGGGGTAACCAGGCATTGAGGGTGCAACATGGTAAATATGGATAGTTCCAGTATTCACTTTTGGTTCTAGCAATTCGTCAATTGGTGATTTTTAACTAAAGGGCTTAACATCAAATAATACACTCCAAAATATTGAAGCTATTACATGTTAGAGCCACATAAATATCATCAAATTGTTAGATCATAGTAAGGTACAGATTACTGATAGATTATAAATTTTTCAATCTGCAAAAATATTGCGAGGTTAATCTTCACAAATTGACATGATATTTTTAACAAGGGGACCCCTGTTTGCAATCTATTAAATAAGCAAATGAGTTGCAAGTAAAAATCATATGATACATGATGCAGTTTACAACATGAACAAGTGAGTTTTTAAGCTAATAGTTCAGTCCTATAACCAGAATAATAATTGGACCTTATGCAATGTTAACATAATACAGCCAATGGCTGCAAGGTTTATCAATTAAAAACATCTATCTATCTAAGAAATACCAATCCAAGATTGTGTGTCACGTACCTCGTGTGTCACTTCAAAACAGCCAACATTTGAGCCTTCTTGAAAATAGAGCTAGCATGCAAATATGACAGTTCCAATACATGTAAACAAATACGACTATAAGCCATATTAAAGCGTATATAGATGTAAAACTTCACAAAACAAAAATATAAACGTTCAGAAATAACGGTTCGACGAATAAATAACACAGTTATTGTCAGTTAATCCACCTCGGAATCTACTCCACTCCTCGATAGTGAAACGTCGACATAATTCTGTATATTCTTGATGGATTTCTTTCAAAAAGCCCCCAGAAGAAAAAGCGTGATTGAAAGAACAATTTGACGTTCACTTTATACACTTACGAAGACTTTACGATTGTCAAAATAGCGAAAATGTATGCACGTATTGCTTCGTATATAGATCAGTGGGAATTTCCATTTTGCGACTATCCATGGAGAAGGAGACCAAATTCACCCGAAACCTATAGTTGCTGGCACAGGTGCCCCAGCAACTAATTATCGTGTTCCATAACTTCCGTTGACCAGTCAGTAGCACGCTGTGGATTTCAGAATCAATGTTAAAAATGTCGCTTCCTGTTTCTGCATGTTTTGAGTCTTTTGACGAGAGGATACATTAGTAAAAAAAAATTAAGATGACCATCGGTTTGCCGATTAATCGGCCGATGGTGGGTAAATATCGGCTGTTAACAATCGGTATCGGTAATCGGCTTTTTTTAGACATCGGCTCACCTCTATTTGACAGTGAGCCAGAGAATGAGTCAGATTCAGAGCTACTTTGGTAAATGTTTTTCAAGTGACTATATTTTTTGACAGTGAATTGATTATGATAAAGTGATGAAGTATATATATAACATATGTATAACATAAGTATTAAACATCATTTGATTAATGATTTCAGACTCAAAAATTAATACTAATAGTGTACATTGTCATTCTATTCATGCTGCTGTAAAAATTAAACTACTAGTAGCACATTGTCCGGGCGGGGGGGTGGGGGGTGGGTGGATGGTTGCAACTGGAATTGACTTGATGCATTGGCTGCTCAGTCCGCATTCGGCCTCCAGCTAAAAACTGCATCCGCTTGGACACAGTCGTTGTAACATAATAAAAAAAACGAACTAATATTTGCAGACATAAACTAATATTTATAGACATAAACCAAGTATAATATAAACACATATGAACCCAGTGAGATCACGACTACAACAAGTACTATATATCTTGCAACATGTTAAAGTCGCTATCCAATTTCTGACTTACCTCCGATTAATTGATATGCAATTCCGATTAATTGATATGCAATGCCGATTAATTGATATGCAATTCTGTATTTGAGTAAAGTTATGTCTCTAGTATATAGTAATTATAAAAAGATGGTCATTACAATATCTATATACCGGTATATATGACCATATATAGTACATTTGATTTTTCATATAAAATATCATTGCTATGACTCGAGCCACTATATCAGGGGTCTTCACCCCTTTTTTTCGGCGACCCAATCCCAAGCTTCATAGGTGTCCCGCGACCCTGAACACTGCCAAAATTTGAATCAAGAATATAGTCGAGTGCTGAAACATTATTACACATAACGCCCGCCCATTGACTTCTTTCACACCGTACTTACCCTGGCTGGGCACGATGCTGCGTTTAGGAGGTATCTTATTAATCCGTCCCAATCACTCAACCATGTCTTGACTTCATGGGAAAGAAGGGTTAATAAACTGATATGCAGCCACAGGGGGCTGAGAAGTAAAATATGTCAATTAATTTACCTTCAATATATTTTCATAACATCAAAATGATCAAATGCAAATAAAACTTTCGATAATTAAAAACATTATGGCTTTTCACCGAAAGCTTCCGAGTGTATGACGACGACTCTACTTCGGAAGACGATGTGCGCGGAAGGCGCGCCGAGTGGTGCTAAGCCATAATGTTTGAGTTACATGAAGTAAAAGGTATTATATCTAAAGCTTTACCAGTTTACCTGTTTACCATATTATTCTAGCAATCTAGCGCTTGAGTGCTTCATAATAATCGTGAAAAAAACATTATAATCGCAAATTTCGCAAGGAAATATTCATATGTAAATATGTGCATCTTATCACTTGATCTCTCGTCTTGTAAAGTTTACTAGTGTAAGTTCGCGACCCTAGACAAGCATTGCGACCCATGCGACCCAAGACAAGCCTTGCGACCTTCGAGGGTGTGCTAGCGACCCAATTTTGGGTCGCGACCCATGGTTTGAAGACCCCTGCACTATATAGCTTTATAACTTGAAAACAAAACTGGAGTGTCGAAACCTTGGGTCTTGATCACAGTTTGACTGGGCTTTGTAATAATTTATTTAAACCAGAGTAGCGAGCAAAACAAAATTAAATGCACATGGTGATATATCATAGTAAGGATTCAACTGTCTCAAAAAACAAAGTGGAATTCAACATATTGAGCGAAGGCAACACCCAGATTATGCTAAATATTTTCTTGTATTTCTGGGCCATATTGATCCATCAATGTACAAGAATATTGCCTTGACAAGTAGAATTGTCTGCCGTTAGACAGACCTTGGTACTGCACATGGTAGCGTATTGTTTTAAGACACTGTGGCAGATATATTATAGTGTGGTTAACTCTTTGAGTACATTATTGCCCCAATACTCCCAAATTACTCTGTCTAATGCACCTAGGCCAAAAAAATGTGGGTTTCCTATTTCTTCTTGTAAAAACTTAGGTAGGGTAGGTCGGTTTTAACTTTTTTTAAACTTTTTAATTTTCCTAACAACCGGACGTCATTTTGTTTAGTCAGTGCTTCCACATCCAAAGATATATTTCTCTAATATTGCCTCAATTTTCCACAAACGTTTTCCTTTAAGTGGAAACCATTACAAGCATGATCCAATAAAAAAGTTTGGGGTTGGGATTTTGATCAGCATCCAAAAGCTAGGTAGGGTATAGGGACATTTGTAAATTTTATTAAATCCCCAACCCTCGGACAGGAAAACATGTCAAATCCTCACGGGCAGGGTATACCAAACCAAATTATGTAAAAATAAAACAGCACTCATTCCATGAATAGAGACCTTTAGATTGACGTTCACGGCAAACGTCAAACCGCTAGCGAAGTTTTTGATTTTACAACTCTATTATAATAGCTTTTACACCAGTTTTGAAATATGTTAAACTTATTAAACTTGTGCTCTTTGGCAATGATTCAAGAAAGCAAATTAACCATGCCTGCATTCACCAAAGCAGTAAATTAAGAAAAGATTTTACAGATAAGTTTTGAAACGCTCGTAAACTTCGAGCAGCAAACACTAAAATATATATTTTTAAATACTTTGCTTCAAATTTCACTTCCAGTTGCTAATTGCTGAGAGCCTGAAACACCCGCAAATTCACCTGAAATTGGCGGGTGTTTTCATTATCAGGCTACATTTCCACTTCTGCATTCTTCTCTTGAAGCACATGATTGTTCAAATACCAAATTTAACACAATAAATTTACAATTATCAGACTTTCAAGTATTTCATATTTAGCTATTGAAGAACAGAGGATATGTTTATATAATATGGTTAGGGTTATATATTTTAGAAATGATGCATATCTGTTCTACTTTGTAACTTACTTTATCAATGTTCTCTGTACCCTGTAGTGAACTAAAAGTGAAGAATACCTAATGGCTTTTGTGTGTACGGCTTTTAGAATACCCAATGGCTTTTGTACTCAGGGCGAATAATATGATGTTTGTGATGTTACTTAGAGTAACATCACAAACATATTATTCACCTGAGTACACAACACCAACACAGAAAAAAAATCATATTACTAGCTATCTGATTACATTGGTATCAAAGGAATTAGATTCTGTTCCGAAATATCACTTACTCGAACCGTCCTGACCGCATAGCTCAGTTGGCAGAGCATTGGGCTAGTATTCCAAAGGTCGTAGGTTTGATTCCCACCGTGGCCGGGCATATTTTTCAAAATGCTTCATTTTTCGTTTGATACTTCAATTGGACATCACTTTGTCAGCTTCTTGACATGTATTTCTTGCTTTTATATTTATTTGGTTAAATATTTCAACTTGAATGAAAAATTTATTTTATTAAAGAATTCATCGGCTCGGATTGGAATACTTTATTACAACTCGGATTAGACAATTTCGGATCGGATTTTAAACATTAGCCAATTGTCGGATTATAAACGTCCGATCCGATGCACACCTCTAATACAAACTAAGACAACTTTATTTATAAATAACCCAATGTAAACCAGGGTCTAGGTTTTAAAAACATTGTTTCGGCTTTCCAGGAACAGGAAATGTAAAGCAATCGACAGTTTACGATTGTGTACAAAGTTTTCTCAAAGGCCAAATTTTATACTTCAAAAAATAGATTATAAACAATTAAACATACAATCTGTTGACTAATTAAATTCTGTCGTTTAATTCTAGTACTTCTGTACTTGCTGCCGATTTTGCTTTAGTTCTAGTATAGTCAGGGTTCGAAATAGCCGCCGGCTATAGTTGCCCTGCCGGCGATTTTTAATTACAAAGCATATGGGGGATAGGCGAAAATATTATATTTATTTACCGATAACTCGCTTACAATAACACCGTACTTATACACAGACAGAACTTGTTACAGGTAAACTATGTGAAGTGTTCCTCTTTTGACTTCGTAACTCATTTGAAATTTTCTTCATTAGCTTTGCAAATTTGAAAAACTCTTTGCAAATCCCTTGAGGGAATTTGCAATGTTCCTATCGGCTCTTGCAATATTCCAAACTTCATTTTAAATTTTCCTATCTATTTCCATTATTTTTGTTAGCCAATTGCAATGCCCAGAACAGAACAGGAAGTTAGGAACTTGTAACAGGAAGTTAAGAACTTCTAACAGGAACTGAGGAAATTTTTTTTTGCTTTTAGCAACATTGCAAATTCCCTCGAGGGATTTGCAAGGGAGTTTTTTAAATTGCAAAAGTAATGAGGAAAATTGCAATCAATTTAGAAACTCAAAAGAGGAACGCTTCACGTAGTTTACCTGTAATGTTTATTCCTGACACATGTTGTTTTACATCACTATATTATAATTTGGTCTATGCCCACTCCAGAACATAACTAAACTTTGCTTGGAAAATAGCCAGCAAAAATTTTCACCTACAAAAAACAGCCTACAAAATTTGACATATTTTCAGAAAGTTCGAACCCTGATAGTTCTAGTTTTTAACTCTTAAATCGCTTTAGTTCTGGTTTAGTTTTAGTATTTATCTGTTTAATTTATTTAGTTCTAATTATTTTGGCACAACTAAAATAGGGTTTTAGTTCTAGTTGACTAAAACAACACACTAGGGGACCCCAATTTTTTAATTCTTTCCTACTAATTTTCAATCTCTTGCCTTATCATATCCCACAAAATATTTCACCTTCTTTAGTTCCTTTAATCGTAGTTTCAATAGTTTATTACTAGATGCAGTTCACCATAGGAGTCGGAGTAAATAACAACCATATTAAATACTTGGTCCTCTAAGATACACAATGTATTACACCAGTACTTAGATAGATATTTATTAGCCCACAAAACGATAAATATATGCAAAGCGTATGAGAATGTAATAATATAAAGGGCTAGGGACCTTTGGAAATCCAGTTGGACTTTTACGTAAGGCCCCTATTTTTCAATAACCATGAATAAAGAGCAATATACTATTTACAAACAGAAATAATAGTGAAAAGACAAAAGAGATAATTATAGTTCAGAGTAATTTACAATATTTACATCAATCAGAAACTAAATAATATAATTTTGCTTTTTTCTTAAAAGAGAGATATGAATTAGTATTTTTGATATCTTCATTAAATTAATACTATTCCATAGAGAGACGCCTTTGTTGAAGACAGTATATTTGCGGTAATTAGTTCTTTTGTAGGTAACATGTAACTTGGTGGAATTACGTGTATTATAGCTGTGAAATTCATTATTTTGCTTAAAGTAATTATACTATAGAAGTCTGGTAAATTTTGACAATAATTAAAACGATACATGAATATACTACATAGATAGTCATTAATTTTGTAGATATTCAGAATTTTCAAGTCTAAAAATTGACCCATTGCTTATTTTACACCAAAGATGTAACAGATTAAATGTTTGAGGGGGGTTCCTAAACCTTCTAGATTTAGTTGCGAGCATCTTGAAAATAAAGGTCTTGCAATTGGGGTGGCTCTAAAAAAATTTCAATATTTGGTATTAATTACCCACCCTCCTCTCATTATTAATGGCCAGTCCCTAAATTAAGCTTAATTTGAGCCTTCTTGTACAACAATTATCCATGTGCATGTCTTTTTCCATTCCATAGCTCAAGGCATGAGAAAGTCCGCCAGCATGCTGGCAGGAATTTTTTTAATCTCACAGGAAATTTTTAAGGAAAAGCAAGATATCAAGAGTAAAGCTTGAGAAATTTCAAAAATCAGCATTACACCCGTTTCCAAATTTACGCGACCTCCCTGAAAAATACTCTTACTTCAAATGTCAGTTTTATGTCACAAAAACTGCTAAAAATAGCAAACGTAAACAAACTGTCAAAAGACATTTTAAACCGTATTTAATACCAAAACTGAACAAAAGAGGGTTAGATAACTTAGATAACAAACTAAGGCACAACACAAACCATCGATCACAACAGAAATATGTGCCGTGAATAACTTTTAAAGTTTGAAAAATAACAATTTATCCTGGAATTTAGCTGTCAGTATAAAATACGCCTGCTAGACTACAACGGTGATGTTATGATTTTGTTTGTGCTTAAATTTTGCAATAATTCTCACTAAAATATCTTGAAAATCATTGTAAGCCTGTTTATATAAAGCATACAAAGCATATACATCGACAAGGAACCGCAAAACTCAAAGTTTAAACTTCGTGACCGAATGACATAAAACTGAGATGTCAACTCTAACATTTTCGTCCTTGGTTGCGTAATTTTGAAAACGGGTGTAAAGTAGCAAACATTACAATTAGAGCATAAATACAAAAATCATGACATAAAAATTTGTATCATGTGGCAGTGCTACGACTGTCTGTTATCATGATTCATGATTATTAGTCGAAAGTGATCATTTTGATGAGCGAAAGAATGTTTTGTGAGTTGGGGGCTCTTTATGCATTTTTAAAAAATTCCTGTGGTACTCCCATTTTTAAAAACAAAAATTCTGTATGAATTTTCTGTTGCATCCTTTGTCTGCTATCAGTTAGATAATATATGTTGTCAGTTGATATGTGCAAATAACTAGATTAAAATCTCTCATTGTTTAGGTGTTTTGTTGCAAGGGAACTTGGATCAGTGATCAGTCATCAAAGTTGAACCGGGTGAAGAAAGGAAAAGAAAGATTATTTTCTACGAAACAGAATCATTTACAGTTGCTGTCTTGAATCTTGTAAAGAAGGTTAGTTTATAGAACACCTTCCAGGCAATGCGGCATGAAAATTATAAATTCTGAATAATATGTTTTATCCCTTGGGGAATTAATCCAATCTAAGCCAATAAGCACAGAAGCCCTATGTCAGTGAACAGTTTTTATCAGTCGAAAGTAATTGTTTTGATGACAGAAATGGTTATAGACAATGTTCAGAAAGTTTGGATTAATAGTTCCTGGCTTTTTTTAATTTAAAAAAATTTCCTGCATGGTCTCCCTTTGCTGAGCACAGGTTGCCACTTGCATGTGGTTGGCCCCTTTGCAAAATGTTTTAAAACATGTTTTTATGAGTTGAAAATTATTGTTTTTGATGAGAAAATCTGTTTCAGTTAAACATGAACAGATTTTCATAACAGGGTAAAAAACAGCAAAAAAGTAGGGCTATAGCCTTCTTTTCGTCCATTTTGACAATTTTTTCATTTTTCATAAGGGGGGAAAACCTCTCCTCCACAGAGCCTCCTTAAGTATTTACAAATAACTTACATGAAGTTTCCTGAATAAAAGTGAGCGTGCACGGTGTGATGGGAACATTGAAATGAAGTTGGGGAGGCTCTGCCAGATAATGTGATGAAGTATGGTTTTTAGTGTGAAGTTTCTTCGAAACTTCACAGTATTGTGATGACTGGGAGGAAATTCAAACTTATCAGTCAGTCATTCAGTCAGTCATTCAGTCAGTCAGTCATTCAGTCAGTCAGTCAGTCAGTCATACAGTAAACTTTCCGGGGGGTGTATACGATTTATGTTCGTAGTGATTTATTGTGCTTTGTCAGTACTTTGAAGGTTATTTAAGCAATTTCAGTTAACTTATTTACATATTCTGTTATCCTTTTGCCAAGTTCACAAAAATTTTGAGGAATCGCTTTTGTTATTGTATTTTTTTGTAAATTTTAGAACATTCGCTTCTCATGTTGTGTAAAGGATTTTTACCCCGGAACACCCGATTGTTTTTTAGTAGCGCAAATGCGCATGCGCTATCAAGCCGTAGATCACGATGGCGTGACGATATGCTAGGAAGGAGTGACAGTGTTGTTTTCAGATGTATAAACATTTCAGACGTGAATATTGAGCAAATTTTTGAAAATCTACGCAATATATAAATTGATCTTATGCATTACGGGCGTTCAATTAAGTGTCGATAATATTTAGACGGTATATTCAATATACAGAGCTAGGAAGGAGCTAGACCGCCTAGACAGTGCAGTCAACACTCAAGTGTATAAACATTTCAGACGTATTAAATATTGAGTCGAAAATCTTTGAGATTCTAGGCATTCAATTGAGTGCTGATATTATTTTCACGGTATACTCATTATACGGAGGTACAGTACGTACGAAGAAGCGAGACAGTGTTGTTTTCAAGTATATAAACATTTCAGACATGAATATTGAGAAAATCTTTGAGATTCTACGCAATAATATAATATATAAATTGATGTTATAATTACCGGCATTCAATTAAGTGCCAATCGATATTATTTAGACCGTGTATTCATTATACATTGTCATTGACTGTATAAGGTGCTACATCACAGAACTCAGTACAAAGAGCGAAAAATTGCATCAGATCTGCATCAGATCAATAAAGCGTAAACAACTATTAAACAGAAGCGGGTGTTTGTACAGGCGTTTACGAAGAAAATATTGCGAGACGAAAGAAATCAGTTGAGTCAGAGCTCCTTATTTAAATAAGAAAGACGAGGAGATAGCCAATGTGTTATCGCCAACGTGTTATCGCCAATCGCTTGGCTCGCCAACAAGATTTATGCAATGGAAGAAAAAAGCAAGGAGGTACATGTAGCCAACATGTACTGTCACGGACCTTGTTTACTGTCTAGCACAACGCCGTTATCAACGGTGCAAACTCGTGTTCAGTGCAACGATAACTCTACCAGAGCTTACGAGAATCAATCTGTAGTATTCTGTACACAGAACTGTATCAAAGCTTGTCAAAACTGCTTTAAACACTGCAGCTATAACTGTGAAACTATCGAAATCTAAAGTGACATTATTCAACACATGCGAACAGCTGAAAATAGACACAACGTAACCTTCGAAAAGTCAAAGGTCAATGAGACTTGTTATTGTGAAACATGTCACAATTAGGTTAAATGCGGAAGCGGATGGAGCGGATCCACGGAACGGATATGCGGATAAAATACGGAACGGATGAAGATAAAATGCTTCCTTTCAATGATATAACGACGTAGTGCTTATTATTCATAACATATCGTATACAGCTATTTCAATTATAGTTTTAGATAAGTTTAGCATAGCAGTAGCCTCGTGGGGATGCTTTTAGCGACAGCTGCAAATGCAAATGCAAATGAAAATTTAGAATATGCAAAATTTGGTTGTTGGTGAAACAATTAAAATTTAGCATGCGTGTAGCATCACAATAAATAGATAAATTGTGTCAGTTTCACAAGGCACGTTTCTGATGTGTTAGGCTTGTTTCAAATGTCACGCTACTCGTGTGCCGAGCGCATTAAAAGCAATAGATAATAAGATGAAATGCCTTTGGTAATTGTTTATTTCGTAGTGTAAGCCATCGATCAGCTTTTCTAGGTTGTCAGCGAACCTATATAGTTCTTGCAGTGTCTTGATTTCAATTTGAAACTTCACACTATCCTTGGATCCCTAGTTGAACCAAACTAGTTGTTTGACCTTTTTTAATCTTGAAATCGACGGAAATGTGAAAGAAATTGAAATGGATCTTAATAATCTGAGTATCAAAGTTCAATAGAGTCATTTTTATAAAGAAATGTTGCAATTACGAGGATATTTATAATTAGATAGCTCATATCCATTGATATTCGTTTGCAATTTCTCAATATTTTTCGATGCAAATGGACAGAAGATATTGATATTGAATTCACCGCAGGATACTCAAGTACGCCTGAAAATGAAAGTTGAAAACATGTTTTAATACCCTCGGGGGTGATCGAACTTCGCTACAAACGATTATATAATTATATACGATGCCATATTGATTGCATTAACCCTCGCAAAGGCTTCCTTTATTTAGCTCTTCCCATCGCTCCTTGCATGCTCACTTTTCCCTTACTAGAAACTTCATGTAAGCCTCTGCAGAGGAGAGAGGGGAAAAACGACAAAAAAATAAGGCTAAGCCTTCACTTTTCGTCGATTTTCACAACTTTTTTCATTAAGGTCTGTGATATCCCCCCTTTGCATTTGACCCAAAGTTTGGAATGGCTTGGGGCAGTTTTGGAATTTTGGAAAAATTTCAAATTGTCCCCCCAGGCCCTTTGTTGATCCTGGGGTTGCCTGTATTCCCCTATTTGCATTTGGTGATCGTTTTGATGAGAGAAATGTTTCTCAACAATTTTCAGAAAGTTTGGTGTGAGTTGGGCCTCTTGAATTTTTCCTGTGATTGCCATTTGTTGACTGTAGGGTTGCCTATGATCCCCCTTTGCATTTGACCCAAAGTTTTTGAAACAAGTTTTTATAAGTCGAAAGTGATCGTTTTGATGAGAGAAAGAAAATTTTGTGAGTTGGGGGATCTTCCTGTGGTACTCCCATTTTTAAAAACAAAAATATGATTTTTTTCTGTTCCTTTATCTGCTATCAGTTAGATAATACATGTTGTCAGTTGATATGTGCAAATAACTAGATTAATATCTTTCATTGTTTAGGTATTTTGTTCCAAGAGAACTTGGATCAGTGATCAGTCGTCAAAGTTGAACCGGATGACTTGACAGGAAAAGAAAGATTATTTTATACCAAACAAGAATCATTTACACTCGCTGTCTTGAATCGTGTAAAGAAGGTTAGTTTATAAAAAGGCCTTCCAGGCAATTTGGCATGGACATTATAAATTATGTTTTATCCCTTGGAGAATTAAGCCAATAAGCGCAGAAGCCTTGTGTCAGTGAACATTTTTTTATCAGTCGAAGGTAATTGTTTTCATGAGAGAAATGATTATCGACAATTTTCAGAAAGTTTGGAATAATAGTTCCTGGCTTTTTTTCTTTAAAAAAATTCCTGTGGTTTGCTGAGCACAGGACCACAGGTTGTCACTTGCCTGTGGTTGTCCCTTTGCAAAAAGTTTTAAAACATATTGGCGACTTTTTCCAGATTTCGTAAGTGGGCAAAAAACAGCAAAAAAGTAAGGCTTATAAGGCTTAACTTTTCGTCCATTTTTAGCGACTTTTTATATTTCTCATAAATGGGCAAAAAACAGCAAAAAAGTAAGGCTATAGGCTTAACTTTTCGTTCATTTTTAGCGACTTTTTCCAGTTTTCATAAGTGGGCAAAAAACAGCAAAAAAGTAAGGCTATAGGCTTAACTTTTCGTCCATTTTTAGCGACGTTTTCTATTTCTCATAAGTCGGCAAAAAACAGCAAAAAAGTAAGGCTATAGGCTTAACTTTTCGTCCATTTTTAGCGACTTTCCAGTTTTCATAACTGGGAAAAAAACAGCAAAAAAGTAAGGCCATAGCCTTAACATTTCGTCCATTTTTAGCGACTTTTTCCAGTTTTCATAAGTGGGCAAAAAACAGCAAAAAAAGTAAGGCTATATATAGGCTTAACTTTTCGTCCATTTTTAGCGACTTTTTCTATTTCTCATAAGTCGGCAAAAAACAGCAAAGTAAGGCTATAGGGTTAACTTTTCGTTCATTTTTAGCGACTTTTTCCAGTTTTCATAAGTGGGCAAAAAAACAGCAAAAAAGTAAGGCTATTGGCTTAACTTTTCGTCCATTTTTAGCGACTTTTTCTATTTCTCATAAGTCGGCAAAAAACAGCAAAAAAGTAAGGCTATAGGCTTAACTTTTCGTCCATTTTTAGCGACTTTTTCTATTTGTCATAAGTGGGCAAAAAAGTAAGGCTATAGGCTTAACTTTTCGTCCATTTTTAGCGACTTTTTCTATTTCTCATAAGTGGGCAAAAAAAACAGCAAAAAAGTAAGGCCATAGCCTCAACTTTTCGTCCATTTTTAGCGACTTTTTTTCATTTTTCATAAATGGGCAAAAAAACAGCAAAAAAGTAAGGCTATAGGGTTAGCTTTTCGTTCATTTTTAGCGACTTTTTCCAGTTTTCATGAGTGGGCAAAAAAAACAGCAAAAAAGTAAGGCTATAGGCTTAACTTTTCGTCCATTTTTAGCGACCTTTTCTATTTCTCATAAGTGGGCAAAAAACCCCAGCAAAAAATAAGGCTACATGCTTAACTTTTCGTTCATTTTTAGCGACTTTCCAGTTTTCATAACTGGGAAAAAAACAGCAAAAAAGTAAGGCCATAGGCTTAACTTTTCGTTCATTTTTAGCGACTTTTTCCAGTTTTCATACGTGGGCAAAAAAACAGCAAAAAAGTAAGGCTATAGGCTTAACTTTTTGTTCATTTTTAGCGACTTTCCAGTTTTCATAAGTGGGAAAAAAACAGCAAAAAAGTAAGGCCATAGCCTTAACTTTTCGTCCATTTTTAGCGACTTTTTTTTCATTTTTCATAAATGGGAAAAAAACAGCAAAAAAGTAAGGCTATAGGCTTAACTTTTTGTCCATTTTTAGCGACCTTTTCTATTTCTCATAAGTGGGAAAAAAACAGCAAAAAAGTAAGGCTATAGGCTTAACTTTTCGTCCATTTTTAGCGACTTTTTCTATTTGTCATAAGTGGGCAAAAAAGTAAGGCTATAGGCTTAACTTTTCGTCCATTTTAGCGACTTTTTCTATTTCTCATAAGTGGGCAAAAAAACAGTAAAAAAGTAATGCCATAGCCTTAACTTTTCGTCCATATTTAGCGACTTTTTCCAGTTTTCATAAGTGGGCAAAAAACAGCAAAAAAAGTAAGGCTATATATAGGCTTAACTTTTCGTCCATTTTTAGCGACTTTTTCTATTTCTCATAAGTCGGCAAAAAACAGCAAAGTAAGGCTATAGGGTTAACTTTTCGTTCATTTTTAGCGACTTTTTCCAGTTTTCATAAGTGGGCAAAAAAACAGCAAAAAAGTAAGGCTATAGGCTTAGCTTTTCGTTCATTTTTAGCGACTTTCCAGTTTTCATAAGTGGGAAAAAAACAGCAAAAAAGTAAGGCCATAGCCTTAACTTTTCGTCCATTTTTAGCGACTTTTTTTTTCATTTATCATAAATGGGAAAAAAACAGCAAAAAAGTAAGGCTATAGGGTTAGGTTTTCGTCCATTTTTAGCGACGTTTTCCAGTTTTCGTAAGTGGGCAAAAAACAGCAAAAAGTAAGGCTATAGGCTTAACTTTTCGTCCATTTTTAGCGACTTTTTCTATTTGTCATAAGTGGGCAAAAAAGTAAGGCTATAGGCTTAACTTTTCGTCCATTTTTAGAGACTTTTTCTATTTCTCATAAGTCGGCAAAAAACAGCAGAAAAGTAAGGCTATTGGCTTAACTTTTCGTCCATTTTTAGCGACTTTTTCTATTTCTCATAAGTCGGCAAAAAACAGCAAAAAAGTAAGGCTATAGGCTTAACTTTTCGTCCATTTTTCGCGACTTTTTCTATTTGTCATAAGTGGGCAAAAAAGTAAGGCTATAGGCTTAACTTTTCGTCCATTTTAGCGACTTTTTCTATTTCTCATAAGTGGGCAAAAAAACAGTAAAAAAGTAATGCCATAGCCTTAACTTTTCGTCCATATTTAGCGACTTTTTCCAGTTTTCATAAGTGGGCAAAAAACAGCAAAAAAAGTAAGGCTATATATAGGCTTAACTTTTCGTCCATTTTTAGCGACTTTTTCTATTTCTCATAAGTCGGCAAAAAACAGCAAAGTAAGGCTATAGGGTTAACTTTTCGTTCATTTTTAGCGACTTTTTCCAGTTTTCATAAGTGGGCAAAAAAACAGCAAAAAAGTAAGGCTATAGGCTTAGCTTTTCGTTCATTTTTAGCGACTTTCCAGTTTTCATAAGTGGGAAAAAAACAGCAAAAAAGTAAGGCCATAGCCTTAACTTTTCGTCCATTTTTAGCGACTTTTTTTTTCATTTATCATAAATGGGAAAAAAACAGCAAAAAAGTAAGGCTATAGGGTTAGGTTTTCGTCCATTTTTAGCGACGTTTTCCAGTTTTCGTAAGTGGGCAAAAAACAGCAAAAAGTAAGGCTATAGGCTTAACTTTTCGTCCATTTTTAGCGACTTTTTCTATTTGTCATAAGTGGGCAAAAAAGTAAGGCTATAGGCTTAACTTTTCGTCCATTTTTAGCGACGTTTTCTATTTCTCATAAGTCGGCAAAAAACAGCAAAAAAGTAAGGCTATTGGCTTAACTTTTCGTCCATTTTTAGCGACTTTTTCTATTTCTCATAAGTCGGCAAAAAACAGCAAAAAAGTAAGGCTATAGGCTTAACTTTTCGTCCATTTTTCGCGACTTTTTCTATTTGTCATAAGTGGGCAAAAAAGTAAGGCTATAGGCTTAACTTTTCGTCCATTTTAGCGACTTTTTCTATTTCTCATAAGTGGGCAAAAAAACAGTAAAAAAGTAATGCCATAGCCTTAACTTTTCGTCCATTTTTAGCGACTTTTTTTTTCATTTTTCATAAATGGGCAAAAAAACAGCAAAAAAGTAAGGCTATAGGGTTAGCTTTTCGTTCATTTTTAGCGACTTTTTCCAGTTTTCATAAGTGGGCAAAAAACAGCAAAAAGTAAGGCTATAGGCTTAACTTTTCGTCCATTTTTAGCGACTTTTTCTATTTGTCATAAGTGGGCAAAAAAGTAAGGCTATAGGCTTAACTTTTCGTCCATTTTTAGCGACGTTTTCTATTTCTCATAAGTCGGCAAAAAACAGCAAAAAAGTAAGGCTATTGGCTTAACTTTTCGTCCATTTTTAGCGACTTTTTCTATTTCTCATAAGTCGGCAAAAAACAGCAAAAAAGTAAGGCTATAGGCTTAACTTTTCGTCCATTTTTCGCGACTTTTTCTATTTGTCATAAGTGGGCAAAAAAGTAAGGCTATAGGCTTAACTTTTCGTCCATTTTTAGCGACTTTTGCTATTTCTCATAAGTGGGCAAAAAAACAGTAAAAAAGTAAGGCCATAGCCTTAACTTTTCGTCCATTTTTAGCGACTTTTTTTTCATTTTTCATAAATGGGAAAAAAACAGCAAAAAAGTAAGGCTATAGGGTTAGCTTTTCGTTCATTTTTAGCGACTTTTTCCAGTTTTCATAAGTGGGCAAAAAAACAGCAAAAAAGTAAGGCTATA